AGCGAGGGCGGCTGCGGAGTCCAGGATGAAGCGGAGCTTGTGCTCAGGGTACCACACAGTCAGGTGGGCTGTGACACTTTTTTGGCCCAATTTGGCCACTAGCCCGAGTTCGGAGGCGCCCGAGGCCTCTGCGCCCGTGAGCAAGAGGAGGCCACATGTGTGCTCGGGATGAAAGCGGATTACAGCCTCGTTGCTGCTGTGGCAGGTCGCCTGGCCGGTGATGTCGGTGATGCCCAGTTGGTGGTTGAGCGAGTAAATACGCACCGGCACCGAGACCTGGCGTCCGGACAACACAGCCGTATTGACAACAGCGTGCGTCTGAACAGCACCGGGATTCGGTTTTCGAAGTGAGGCAAGTGGTGAACGAAGGAAAGGCACAATAAATATTCAAGTCAATCTGTGGCTTGCTCACTCAGCCGAGACACGTTAGGCCGCCACCTAGCGGCCTAGCTCAGAGTCCCGCTCAGGGTGCTGATAAGACCTAGGCGAAGTCGAAACTGCAGTCTGATCTGGACGCAAATACCTTTTTGGAAGCAAGGCTATGTGAAATTCAGGAGAAAACTGAAGCTTACTTGTATCATCATAAAAAAACTCAACTACCACTCCTTCATAATATAGCTTAATCTCACAAAATGGCGCGAAGGGGCCTCATAATGCAAATGGATTATAATTAGCCTTAGCTCACAAGAGGCTTACTCAACCCGGCTTAAATGGACTGCAGTTTGGACTTCGCATGGGTCTCATCCTCACTCCCGACGAGACCGGAACCGGATCGTAGCAGCCAGGATCGTAGACAGCCAGTCAGCCACACATACACAGAACAGATTTGACATTTTAAAAAAGCCAGACATCTTCCAAATCACCTTAGTAGTTGGTAGATCGATGGGACAAACGAGTATTCACCATTACAACCAAACACTATTTATATGCGAAGTGATTAAGGTTCTAGTCGGACAGTTAAGGCTACTCATATTTGGGGAAGAGTCTGTGACATTCGGTTGGTTTTTATGGAATATCCTGATTGACGTCGTCCCCAAGGCAATCTCCTTCGCTCCACGTGCAAATTTGACAAGCCATCATCCGTAATATGATGTACATCATGAAGGCACTATATCATTCTCACAAATGTATTCGAGCTGACGAATCAATAACACCCACTAACTTATCAAAATATGCTGTATATATACTTTAAACATATACAACATATGAAGTATACACGGATTTAGTTAAAGTCATATATCACTATAGTCATATGTCAGTGTGTATATAAAGAAAAATGGGTTTTAAAGAATTCTTTTGTGGTTTACTGTGATATGAATTTCCACTTGGTATGTAAATTTGGAAGGAAGGAATTCGTGGAATGTCCTCACCGGATTTCAGCGAGGTGGAAACTGTTGGATTGTACGAAGAAGTCCTCAGCTCACAGAACTGCGGTTTCGATTAACATGTAATAAACCTTCCATCTGCACCGTGACAGACATCATCAGAGCCAGAATACATACTTTACAAGTAGCGCTATTTCATATAGTATGGATTATTGCTCTGATGATGTCTGTCACAGTACAGGCGAAAGCTTAGCATAGTCTCATCAAGGTCGCACAATTCAGTAGTCTTTACTCCGCGGCAATCCTTTTTCGCTTTCCGGTGAGATCATTTCACAAATTCCTTGAAGCCACCTTTTCACCCAAAATGTAAAGTCATGTCACAATGAGCGTGCGTATGTTTGTATCTGCCTATGTGCCATTATGTGGACGTAAATGTAAGAAATCAGCAAGGAGAACTCAAGGTAATTAAAAAGAACGAAACATCTGCCCTCAGAGATGAAGGTTTAGAGACACCCGCCCACACCCTGAATAGAAGAAGACTGCCTCGGAGACAGCATCAGCTAGTATGTACTAGTAAAATCAACCGAGAGGCCGAAGAGAGAAGTTCTCTATCGTCTTCTGCTGGAATCAGCCTTTGAACTTCTACAACGCACCTTTTTTTACTCAAGAGGTCAACCCAATAATTGTAAACTAAGAAATTCCTTAATACCCAAATTTTATTCGCTTATTTAAGATCAAATGATAATTTTGTGACAAATCCACTCTAAGGCATGACTGCTTATAATCAGATTATGGTTGCTGAAGAGGAACGGTCCTGTTGGGGAACATGGCTATGCTAGATGTGCTAAAAATTAAGGCCAGTAAATCGTTAAAAAGCCCCGAATTTTGGTCATAAAATTAGTACACTTAATCTTTTATCTAGTTCAGCTAAGAAGTTAAGCAAATTAAATAGAAACAATTAAAGCAAAATGAGAACAATCAATTGGATACAGCAAGAAGCAAAACAGATAAATGCGTTATTGGCGAAGAGTTAGCAGCCGAAAAAAAATTGCCCCAATAGCTCATTAACAATGCAACTGAGAGTTTGTGTATCAAATTGATTTTCATTTCATATGTAGATCCAATCAAGGGAATCGCATAATGAACTCACCAGAAGAGGAAGGTAGGTTCTGGTTGAACTAAAGAAGATTGGTACATCCAGATTGAAAAAAATCCTCGAGAGGCCCTGATGTAGTTACAGTGAAAATGTGCTAAGCTGTCGTCTATCACTTCGGCTGAAATGCATCATTATTAAAACAACTTCAAGAAAACGCCAAGTCAAGTCAATTGATTGGACCCCCAACACAAGTTATGTAAAAAAAACAAGTAATAAACAATTCAAAGATAAGTGTGGCGAATTTGACATCATTTCTTTATCGAGAATAAGGCATATTGTTGAGAATTACAAATTTAACTTTGCTAATCTAACATAATATTTTAATTGAAAAACTGTTTTAAGCAATGTACTTGAAATGTATGTTACCGGAAGATGGATTTATCCCAAGGAAGTCTTGCGCTCTGAGTAGGATTATTAAATATTTGCTTATTAATAGGACAATATAATTGTGGAAAAATTCAACTACCAATCCTTCATCGCCTTAAACAAATTAAAGTGGACACATCTCATATAAGGGTTGGCTAGAAGAAGATATTAACCAAAGAAGATATTGTTCCATCTAAGGAACACTAGTACGATTTATATGTTAGCTAAGCCTAAAGCCAGACTAAGGGAAGCCTTTAAGGTGTATATAAGCAACAGAGAAAATGAATCATTTAGTCAAGGAGATGCTAAGCCACTCACGGCCTTAAAGCGGTACGTATGGAAAGAGTAGCAATAAGATTAAATGTCAATAATAAAAGAAATTTAATGCACACGACTTCATGAATCTAGCTCAAGCAATCAAGGTAAGTGACTGAATATTGAGCATAATCAGTTTCAAACTAAAATGAATTTTCAAAAAATTAATGGATGAGTAAATGGGTACAAAGGAAGACTATTAATGTATCGTATATGTGTACCAAAACTTCATTTCTAGAAGCCATCCAAACTCTGACATTTGTCCTGGAGGAATACCCATAGATTACGGAGGTGGTTGGTTCTAGTAAACAATAGGGTTCAGGATTGTCTGATGCATACATGAATAGTACTTATTTAGTTTTCACGGAAAGTTTTATGAATAGACGCAAGTTTCGAGACTTTACCACTCGGTATAAAAAAACATACTGACCTTGACCTAGAAGCTGCAATAAAATAAGCTATAATTACTCATAACGATCACTTGGATTTCATAAATACCTTTCTACCCATTCATCCAAGTATATACGTATACAATTAAATAAAAAAGCACATAATGACATCAACATGAAGTAGCAAGACAGACTCTGTCGCCCGAATCAATTTTGTGTGTATATACACAGCACGCAGGTATAAGTCAATTGAGATCGTTTGACCATTCATAAGCATGAAACTATTTAGAATGTATCCCAGCTCTGATGATGCTCACCAACGGACACGACAGACGAAAGCTTTGAACGCCTTCACCAGAACCCATTCAAATTAAACTTCAACAGAGGAAATGGAACTGGTCGTCTCCTTCTGGTGCTATCGGCCTACGAATCTCTGCATTACAAACTTTTATAAGAAATAAATCCTAATTCAATAAGTGCAATAGTATAGAAAGTTAACCTACATCACGACAACAAAGCCCTCATTTACTGACTTCTCGGATCGTCTGTAAAGCAATCGTGCTAAAAGCAGTTGCCATGGCAATAGGGCGGTATTACTCAGTATCCAAAACTCCATGCTACAAGTTCAACCATCTCAAGAACCTTTAGAATTTGGCAGCAAACGGCTCAGAAGTTGGCAATGATTATGGCCTTTGGAATTAACGAAGTAACCTTTCAAAGTCACCGATATGATAATTTGATGGCCAGAATTCTAAAATGGCTAAAATAATAAGGGTTTTAAGGGGTTGCTCTAGCTAAAAACTCAAGAGAGATCATAAATTGGTTCGACTAAAGTCGTGGTCTAGAAGTCAGTGTAGGGTCACTGAGAAGTAAGGCTAAAACAGTAAGAAATGAAGTAAAGAGTCCGGTATTTTGGTGCACTCTTGCCTAATGATGTCTCATTTACGCTGTAAAAACGCAGAGCCACAATAAAGCAGATATAGTAAAGGAAAAGTTATTGCACAATATGACATTATATTTTGGAGGACCAGAGGAAGGAAAATAACCAGTATATCTTAGATACGAAGAGAAACTTGGTTTCGATGAATCTCCTGAGATAACATTGTTAGGGGGACCTTCATT